AATTTTCAACAAATTCAGTTCTAACGATGTTGATCAATGGGAATATCCATTATCCTCAACTCTCTTAATTCTGTATTGAGAACCAAACCATTTTATAATCATTGCTTTTGATTGAGAATTCAAAGGGTGGAACATTTAAACTTTGGACAAAATTATTGTTATAGGCCATTTCAGGGTAATTTCCACGGAGCGTCTGTCAGCCTTTTTGTTGTGCTATGATTATGGGTGGTGGGAGGAGAGAAGGAGGGTCCTATAGACAGACAGAAAGAGAGAGATTGTGATGTGGAGTCCCTCATCTGTAACGGCTGCATAACACAGATGTTGGGAGTCATCTGTCAGCCTGGCCTCTCTTGCCGGGCCCGAGCTGCTCTGGGGGGAAAAGAATTGGACACGGTGCTGTCACTTTTTACCCCCACTCACAATGGAGGGACATGCAAATATCAACCCCCATTCGTGCCCTTTCTTCCTTGCCTTCCTCTTAGCCAGCCACAGTGTCCTGTCTACTATCTGGACCCTGGCTAGCATGGAGGGGCTGTGGGAGGGCTCGTTGCAGGCCGGTGTGAGGAAAAATGTGACATCAGTCCCATCAAGTCCTTCTCTTGCCACATATTAGAATTGGAAATGATGGGATGCTCTCTGAGGCCTTGCCTGGCTTCCCCCGGGTCTAGAGGGGACCCCAGTCCTTCCACCCTTTGTCCCCAGAGAGAGTGTGTGTAAGGAGGGCGAGAGAAAGAGGGAGGGTCTGTGCGAGTCCTCTGTGTCCTTCTGTGCTATATTATGAATGAATTTGGATGTAATGATTACCCCCCCTGTTTTAAAACGCCATTCAGCTCACACCTCATATGGCTTTCACAGTCATGAAAGTTAGAGGGTGTGCAGAAAGGGGGCAGATGCCTCTGTTCTGGAAAACGCTTAAAAAAACAACAAAGTCTGAAGCATCCCTCCCCTCTGAACACAACCAATGCCTCTCTCTCTCACTCACACTCACTCACACTCTCTCACACACACACTCACACTCACACACACACACACACACACACACACACACACACACACACACACACACACAGCTCCCTGGTGAGGAGTCCCTGAACGTTTTTCGAATCGGGCCCTAATGTGCCGTTTTCATCAGCACTGAGGCGGGCTGCAATATGGTGCTGGGGCTCGCTCTGGGAATATGAATGTTGATTAAGCATGCATTCAGCCTTTTGAAATTCTGAAGAAGTGTCAGAATAATGGATGTTGAGCAAATGTCAAGCATTTGTTAATTTCTCTGTTATTTGGGGTTTATCTAGCATGATCTTTGGAAGGAAAGCGCAGGGCAGGGTTGTTGTGGCATGTGCCATTGATATGGTGATTTCTTGGCTGCAGACACTTTGTTTTTGATGGTAATATCTCGGCTCAGGACGAAGCTTAGGGAGTTGCTCATTGATTATTTATTGTGGCTGTAGTGTTTATCTCTCCTTTTTTAAACACGCTGGTTAAACCTAGGGATTTGGTAACAGGCACGGCGCATTAAACTAGCAGGCTCTTTATACATTTTGTTTAACTTACATCCCACGAACTGAAGAAAAGATGTAAGAGATTATAACTGCTTTTTTATCTATTTTATTATTTCTTAGGTGTGCCTATCATTTACAGTGTAGAACACAGTGTTAAAATGGAGATCCATTTGCAATAATTCACACCTAAACAATTTAACTGATTTAGGACTTGGCCTATTAGAGTTGTGCATTAATATTTCTAAATATTTGTGTATTTTATGTCAAACAAAATCATATAAAGTTTTGCAAATGAGAAATGTATTGGCCTTCGTCAAGTTATGTAGCTGTTGTTGTTTACAGATATAACTTTCTCACCTGAAATTTCACACTTTTATTTTGAGTTCATATCCCTTTATTAAAGCTCACCTGAATCAAGGTTTTAAAAATGTGGACGTGGATTTTTTAAATCTCTGGGAATCCCAGTTAAATGTATCATTGCTGGAGTTAACTCTGATTCCCACTGTCATCTCTGTTGAATCAACCAAGTTGCTCTGCTGCAGCTCTTGTGAAGGTAGAATTCCACCGCGATTTTACAGCCTCGAAGTGGCAATGACATTACCCAGAGACTGATCTAGTGCAGAGCCTGTGGGGGCAGCCCTGACGGCCTCCAGTGCACGGCCTCACACTTCTGACTGCCCATATTGAACAAAACACAAACTGGCAGTTGGGGCTTAGGGGCACAACCCTTGAAGGCTGAGAGGCTGGCAAACTAATTCCCCAGCTTTATGTGGTTAGATGAGCATTGGAAGGGTGAAGAGATGAATGAAGTGGGTAGGCAGAGAGGAGAAAGAGGAGAAGCTGTGCTGAGTTTACAACTTCATGTCAGGCTAAGGACTTCATGAATAATAGATGCAATCAATTACTTGATTAGGAAGCACAGGAATGACTTCTTCCTCCTCATATCGTAGGGACGTTGTCCAAGCACACTCTATAGATTGTAAAGTCTTCTCGCCTCATTGGGCTAAAAACACTGAGGCAAGCAGACTATGGCTCAAGTACAGTAAAGGTGTGGCTTACAGTGATCCTAATGGAAGCTGTCTTGAAGGTTAAAAACTTATTGGATCATTAGACAGAAAAAAAAAAGATGTTTGAATTATTCACACAGAAAGATGAGCTATTGTGAATAAGACCGAAGTACTGTTTGCTGTTCATGGAGTTGCCGCTGTGTCGTCCCTCAATCCCCAGAGCTATACAAAGGGAAACTACAGCAGCACAGTTCAGCTGGGCAGCTATGGTGGAGTTCCTTGCCCCAGGTTCTCTGTGCATACTGCGATCAATTGCAAATGAAGAATGAAACAAATTGTCCAGAATGGTACAAGTTCCTCACCACGCTTGGGGGAGTAGGCAATTGGTCAGTGTAATGCTTTTCCTTGCCAGACTAGTGGATGCTCACCACTTGACGGATAACATGGACCTCATTTTCAATTTTCCATGAGAGTCTGCAGGAACAGCAATGACAATAATTACACTATAACAATGGCAACACACCATAGTAGTTATACCAAGTTTCGTCAGTGAAGATCCCCGGCTTTCAGGGGGAATCACAATTAGAGCAGTGACTGCGGGATCTTTCCCACTCTTTTTGCCACCATTACGTAATAGTTGTGACATCTCAGGGCACCTCAGCAGAGAGAAGTTTTAAAGATTGTAATAAAGTGGCGGGGGCTGGATAGGGGTCATATTTTTCATCTAATAGCAAAATAGTAGGCAGTGAGATGCCCTGTGGTGCTTCTGCTAAAGCCATTTGAGTGCACAGCCGCCCCCCCGCAGGCTTTTTAGGTTTTCTATGGCCTTCACATAGAGACAGGGGGTCTCGATCAGTAAATGTAATGGAATGCAACCTAAGTTGCCTTTTGGTAAATCCGACCTCAGCCGTGAAAGCTTGAAAATGTAGTCAAACGTTTTTTTCTCACACTTTACAAGCCAAATATCGGGATTAGAATAAAAGTAATAATACATTTGTACAGAAACATAAAATCCCATGAAAACATGATTGCTGTAGTGTGATAGAAGGTTAGCTTTATCATTGTTTTGCAATGGGGGGAAAAAAGTAGAACAAATTTAAAGTGTAAACACGTGCACTCATTGTGCAAGTATTTGTTTGCAGCTGCACAACACACTGAGGTTTCTGTTTGTTTCTATCTCTTGTCAAAATATATCACATTTATACATTAACACATAAAGAACTTTTTTCTTCTCTACACATTTGTTTAGCTGCTGATGATGGTAGACTTAGCAGTGAAACAGATGTTAGCCTTTTGCCTATCAGCATGTGTAATTAGCAGCATTTGCATATCCAGAGTGTTGAACCCACACTCAGCTGTTTTACACTTTATAAAATATCGATCTGTAGCAAAGTAAATGCTTAATGTATTATTGTCAGCAACTTCAAACGAAAGAAGCTCTTAGATGAGATAGAGGTGCTAACTACGCTTGGAAGGCTAATTTAGTAAAGTAATAGAGGTGTAGATAAAAGTAGAATGTCTTTATACAGAAAAGGTGAATCATTCCATCCATGCCATTCACTTCTCAATATAGCTTCATCGCCATTAGTAAAAATATGTGCGATGCCTCAATTAGCCAGTTCCATGCCCCGAAGAGTCGCGCCATGCAACACTCTCTGCATGCAGATCCACCAAATGCTAAGCACTGTCGCAGCACATGATACCAACGCCATTAGCCAGGTGGCTTTCATTACCTAAATTACAGCTATTGTTTATAATTAATTATTTGTAAATAGGAAGATTCCGAATATAATTGATAGCTAGAATTTCACCCATATCCTATTAATTAGGTCGATGGGA